GTTGGCTTCCTTCTTGAAAATCTGAGCACTTCCCCTAGAGGTGGCATGATGGGACAGGTGACAATGACACACCTTGTTTGTTTTGATGGCCCTTTACAACACAGGCCCTGACATCAGTCAGTCAGAAGCCCAAGAGATCAGGAAGCACCGCATGAACAAATCATTGGGATTCCTGTGCCAGTGTGAGCCAGGACACAAAGGGGGGTTTGCCCACAGCTTACTGAAATCATGACAGCTTTTATACCCATTGAAGCACTGCAGCTGTACTTGGAACAGCCTCAGACATCTGGCACAAGCAGGATTTTTCCCTCCCTCTTTTTACCTGAAAAACAGCAGCCTGAAGTGAACTGGTATTGTCTGAATAGCTGAAAAGAACTGGGGTTGTTTTATTTTATTTACTGAAAGGTAAGAAAAAATAAAATGTTAGATGGGCCTCCAGAAATTCACTGTCCTTTACCATGGACATAAAGGATTCCTGTACAGAAGGTTTCCACCTCTGTTCCCTGTTCCTACACTAGCCCTGGGGAGATTTTTATTTCTCTGTCCCCTCAGATTAATGAGTTAAGTAGTAATTTTTAAAATCTATGTACTGAAGCCAAGAATCTGATACCTGACCATGTAAAGCTAATTTCTTTCAATTTAAAAAAATAGATAACAATTAAAGCCTCAACCTGAACCTCTGCCAAAAAGGTCTAACCAAGCTTCATCTGTCAAGGTTTTAATTTCTCAGCAAGCAGCTCTTAGTCCCAATGCTTCATCTGCACAGGGAAAACTGCCTCATCCAGACCAAACATGGCTTATATCCAACAGCACAGGTTCTCCACTGTGTTCTTAAAACACACTCCAACAGCACAAGGCACAGCACCATGCCCCAGGCCAGAGCATGGCTGTCTGTCCTTCCTGTCCTTCGGACCACTGCTGCCCCACCCTCTCAGAGGTGGAGACCCACAGAACCTGTCAGGACAGGCTCCTCCTGGAACTCTGCCTCCGCCTTGGCACTGTCACTGCTGACACAAAGGACTTGCTGCCACGTTTCCTCTGGAGTTTCTTGCACTGCTGCCTTAACAGCGTGAGCTAGAAGGTCTGCCAAAGGATTACACTGCACAAACATATGATTTTAAACCAGGCAGCCCCAATCCCACACCCTGGAAAAATTCCCTATCCTAACCGCAAGCTGTCAGACCAGACCTGCAAACTGGGCTGCTCAGCATGCACCTTCCCCTTCCCAAATCCCTCTTCTCTGTGAACTCTAGTCCAGGAGAGGGGGAAGGAAACCTTGAGCACAGCCTTGTTCACAACTCAGCAGATCACCATGGAAGTCTGCAGTCGCAGCATTTTGATTTGAGAGAAGGGAATAGTGCATCCCAGATTTCTGCACCAGTGAGCACCACTTGCTGACACACAGATGTGCCTGGGAGTCCCAAGGAGCTTCTGCTGCTGCACACTCCCACTGCTCAGTCGCTGCCTGGTGTCATCCCAGTGCAGGGCTGGAAGATGGGGGCAGGACAATCCTGCTGACAGCACTGCCTATAGGAAACAGTGTCAGGCACAAAGATCCAGGAGGTGGCTGGAAAAAACTAAAAAAAAAACCCAAAACCCTCAGCCAAAAGACCAGAAGAAACCATGAGATCAATGACCAGCACAAGAGAAATGGCGCCTGGGCCCCATTTGTGCCTTTGTTGGCACCTTACCCAAACTGAGTTTATTTGGGTTTTTCTTACACCACAAACCCAGACTGACTGAAAAATAAATGAAATTCCTTTTGATGTTCAAACAGTGCATCCCTCCTCCTCTCAGCCTTGCTAAAAAACATGCAGAGAAGTGTGCTCCGTACTTTCACCTGTCAGTCATGATCCCAAAGCACCTGCAGGTACTCCCTTTAAGGCATTTCCCACACAGAGCCATTACTACACGTCTGCAGAAGTGGGTCACGGAATTTCAAGCAGACAATGATCAGAGAGCTGTAAGATGTTTAAACATTTGGTTATTTATCTCTGCTAAGTGACAGGGTATTTTAATCAGCTAGATGTAGTTCAACCTCAACAGCAACTGAACCCTCAAATAATCCTATTAACTTGGGCTCTTTATTTTTCTGATCTCAATAGAATCTTAATTAAAACTAGCAGGCAGAATCTGGAGGCACTCGGGTGGAGGGAGAAGGTCATGCAAAATAAGGTTTTCTGTCATACTTTCATATTTTAAGGCAGTCTCTCAGTAAGTCCTAACTCTGCACATAAAGAAATGATAAATCACTTGAAATATCCTCTCCGTGCTGGCACAGACAGGGAGACAAGCCTTTCCCATCAGTACCAGGGAGGACACAGTAAGTGGAATACAGAACCAGCTTTTTCCCACCTGCCTGACTCAGACTCCTCGTCCTTCACAAGAGGGCTGAAACCAGGTCAGAAAACATGAGCTGCACACCAGCTTCCCCAGCAAAAGACAAGGGACTAACAGGAGCCTTTGCCAGCACGAGAGAACTCAGAGTGCCTGAGCCATGGGACAGACTTTGCCCTCCTGCCCCTCTACTGCCAATTCCAATCAGCCACCTCTGCAGCCCAGCCTCTGCCAGTACAGGGCCAAGGGGCTGAGCACTAACAAGGCTGTAACAAGTACCCTGCTGTTGTGTTGTCCTAATGAGCCCACAGGGCCAGGACCTTGTGCAGCAGCCATCTGGGACATTCAGAACAGGGAAAAAAAAGTTTCCAAGCCTTGTTCATGTCTTAGTTATGCGCTGCAACCAAGACATGGAAGTAAAAGAAGTTTCCTGTGAAGAAGTCTCATGAAGAAGATGCAAGATGAGTGAGCCAAAATATTAAATGGCAAACAATGAAAATTGCCTGTGAAGAACCAGACCGGTACTTGACCAAGCAGGTGAAGGTTGAGTGATGATACAGCTTTTGAAAACCATGAACCAACAGATGACAACTTGGGAGCCACCTCCCTTTCTGCTCAGGAAATCCTGATCAAAAGAGAAATTAACTGAGGTAGAGCTCAAATCTTTCCTCAGGAATGGCACCCAGGAGGCAATTCAGCAGGATCTCTGGCAGCGTCCCCAGGCACTGTCCCACAGAAGAAACAGTGCCCTTCAGCAGCACTAAGAACAAGGATGCACGTTCCCCAAACTCCATATCCTTAGGGAATAATGAAGATTGAATTACTGGCACTGCTAACACTGATGGCATGTGAAAATCCCTTATCAGAGTTCAGCAATAGAGTCCACAACCCTCAGGCTGTAGATCAAAATGCTCATGGGAAATGCTGAGAATAAAACAAAGTCTTTCCTTCCCCTCTGCTTCCTGGGAATCATCAAATGGAGCAGAAAAGATACAGATCCATGACATGCTGGGTGGAGGAGAAAGGACAGAGCCATTTCTCCTCTTCACTGAAGATGATCTTCAATTGTTACACGAAAAGGGGATTCAGGCACTCTGAAACTGGAAACACTCAAGTCTTCCTTAGGAAAAGCTTCAAACTCTCCCTCCGATTCCTAGGCCTGCACCACCACTGCATAAATAAAAGCATCCAGAAGTTCTGTCTCATTTTTCAGCATAGAAGTGTTGTACCTTTAAGTAACTAGAAAAGACCTAAAGAGATCAGATATAATCCTTTGTTTTACTGGACTAGTGGAAGAGTACATGAGTACAGTGATGGAATTAGGTTGGGCCATGTTAATTTCAGACTCCAAACACTGGGATTTAAACCCCAATTCTCCTCCAGCAAACACTGTGCTCCATTCACAGTCAAGACGATGACCTGGACTATCCTCTGGTCTGAACAGGTCCTGTTCACCTCAGGAACTGCACACATGATTCAACTACAATTTAATTGCCATTAAACTCGGGCAAAAAATCCCTCAGATGATGGGATTTATGTTCTCTGAACAAAATGCAGAAGTTGATTGGACTTCAATGCATATTGCTACAATGGGAACCATTGGTCTGAGAGAAGATGAGTCACTTTCAGATGCTCTCCTTAGGGCAGCAGGGAGAGCTGCACTGCTCCCACATCCTGCTGCCATCCACAGCACTGCCACTCTGCCTAGTCCTCCAGATTTTGCCAATTTTGAAAAGAAAAAGGGTCACGCATAGAAAAAACATATTTATATTTATATATAAAAAATCCACACCAAAAAAGCAGATGAAACACACCTACAAAAAGTAATAAAGAAAGCCCACAAAAATCCTCAAGCCTAAAAGAAAAAAACCCTGCAATTTAGAAAATAAAACCTACTCCAAAAAACCCTAAACCCATCAACACTTCAAGGCAGACAGAGATGATTCTGCATCTTAACCACCTCCATGGCTGTGTTAAGGAGTACAAGAGCAGCCGCTGGGGAGTAAACAGCAACTTTCTGTTTACAAGAGAAGAAACTGCAGAATAATCTATTTTCAAAAAAAACAGGAGGTGAAAAAAGATATCAGCCTAAGGCTCAGCCAGAGCATCAGGTACCTGACTGATAACTGAAAATGTTGTGCTAAAATACATCAAAGATAAGCTGCCACAGCCATTTCTACTTCCTCCGGGGAAAAAAAAAAAAAAAAGATTCACACACTTTGGATTCCGAAGGCTGGAAGAAAGGCAATTTAAGGAAGTTGTCCCTGGAAGACAAAGGAGATACTGGATCAGTAATTATAAATGAGAGGAAAGGAAAGCAGTCAATGGACTGCAGGCAGGTTAAGGGCAGTTTGGACTCACAGTTTTCTGTAAATCTTACTGAGGTGGATGTTCAGAGTTACTTCTAGCCAAGATGCCATTTCAGGCTGGAGGCAACAGGTTCCCAACCACAAAGGGACACTTGGAAGAACCCAGCAAAACCTCAACAATATGGTCAAAGCACACCTGTGCTGTAGCATATTCCATCCCAAACCGCAGAATTCTTCATGATCATTAAGCAATCCCCTTGCCCCTGAAATAGCCACCAAAGTTCAGAAAACTGAAAGAAAAAGTCCACTTAAATTTCAAACTTGTTTTTTTAATGTCTTAAAAACGTCACAAGATTTCTTTCCATCTTATTAATAAATTTTATTTGGACAAGTAAAGAACAACTTGTATCACAACAGCTTTTAAACAACAAGATTAGACTGCAGCACTCCAAGGAGGCTCACAGATATGTACAGTATATGAAGAAAAAAGTTGCACCTTCAGAGCTGATCATGATCAAATTAAAAATACCTGACTTAAAGTATATGTGCTAATAAATTTCCTTTAGGTCATGACCAGCATGAAAATAATTAGGACACGGGTACTCAGCAAAGTTTTCTGCTAATGGATACAGCAATATGCTGCATTTAAGGATTAAAATCAGATTCTAGTTTAGTGTTAGCACTGAGCCCTTAAGAGAAATCCAAATTTCTACTTTTGCCATTTACAAACATCAAAACTATTCTCACTTAAGGGTGTGCTGAGCTGCACACAAATCAAGTCCTTGACTGATAAAAACTTTAGCTTTAATACTGGAGGTCTCAGTCCCTGTACAAACTCGCCTCTCTGGCCATTCCACCCATCAGCTGCTACAGAAAATACTTGCTAAGTTAACTCCTCAGGAGAAACAATGCAGGTCCTCTGGAAATCATCACATCCTTTCTAAAATGAAAATTATCTGCCAATTCAAGTTTCATTTGTTCAGGAAGACAGAAGATTTAAGGCTTCGGTGGCAAAAATAATCCTCTGAGCAGTGTTTTTCTAAAGTCAAGCTGACACAGGTACATTTACTTTGCCTTGACTTAAAATCCCTGGTTATCAGGTTTAGAAAACATCCGCCTGTTAAATCTGGCAAGAAATCCCTCCTTCCAAAGAGGTTGCTCTAAATCAACCATTATAGAAGCATTTGAGGATAGTTGGTTTAATTTTTTTTTTTTTTAATTATAGCAACATTCAGAACTTAGTAAGTTGATGAAGCAGTGCTCATGGCATCATCCGCAATTTTGGTACTGGCAGGGTGGATGCTCGCAAAGTACTTGACGTCACTGTCACCATCCATTTGAAGAGCCATAATTGTTTGTTCCACAGCTTCTTGGTGAGAGTTGGCAGAATTCAGGAAATACTCTGTAAGAGAAAATGCACAAAACTTATGGGAGGAAAGGACAGCAGATACTTCAATGCCAACCTCAGTGTACCAAGTGAGACATAAAATTTCAGAGGACAGTGCACTCTTACAGTCCAACTGGAATATCTGAGCAGGCACACAAGAATTCACCTTAATGAAAAAAATCATTCCATGTTTCAGAGTGCAGTTGTTCTATGATGCTGTTCAAGTACAGGATTTCTTCAGTATAAAAGGGTAACAAACTCCATGGCCAAAGAGGAAGGAAAAGCCTGCAAACAACTCCAGATGAGAGTGCTTGTATTTGTGACAGAGGAAAGATACCATCAATACGTGGTCATGCCACTCCAACTCCCTGCCAGCCTTGCCAAGTAATTTTCAAATGATAGACCTAAGGTAACACAAAGTAAGAGTGGAAGAAATTCCAACGTTCAACACTTTCGATGAAGCACAGAACACAACGTGCATAAAAGCAGCATAAATACAAATGGATCACAGGAAGATTAGTTGAGATCTGAGGTTTAAAAACTCCCGAACTGATTTTTTAAATCTGCCTTTCCCAACCTATCCACCCTTCCTAATCATACACAGAACACCTCTGAGGCAGAGGCTACCTGTGCCCTAAATTTACATAATGGCAATGCAGAATGGAGGTGCACTATCAAATACCAATGCCACACGAGAGCAGGAAGAACAGTGACATCCTTGGCACAGTTAACAGACGATAAATCTGCCCATCAGCTGATTCATCTCAACTGTCTCCATATGCTTCCTCAGTCAGCATGCACAAGGCAGCTCCCAGCAGCCCAGTGCTCAGCAGTCCTCAAGCCAGTGTATAGTGTTGAGAGTGGAAGTGACCAGAAATGGATGAAGTATTCCAAGTGTGGACACTCTGCTGTCTTACAGAATAGCCTAATACTTCTAATGCTGCTTTCCTTTATGGTGCTTTGGACTCTTAAGTACTGGTGACTCTGCTGGCACCTGCAATGCACCGGGGATGCTTTCCTAAGCACATTTTCTCTGCAATTTGAGAGTTGCATGTCTTAGTTCCCTGAAGAGAATCCAGGAGCTTTCTTCCCACTGCTACCATAAAATATAAAGCCCAAAAAAACAGCCATCTCTTCTCCCCCAGTGAGAAAACAAATGGTGGTTTATATTTGTGTGTATTTTTCTTATTACACAGAATATCAACTTTTTTTTTTTTTTTTTTGGTAACTAAATAAAGGGTACTGTTCAACAACTTCATAGATGCTAGTTGCTCACTTGTGCTTTCTGATGACACCTCTACCAAGTAGCTCATTCATGGAAAATTACACCAAAGGAACAGTCTGGCACATGAGCAAGAACTCATTTCCTCAGCATTACACAACAGCAGGTTGGATACCACAACAGGGTCACAGGTTCATGTCAGCCAAGGTAACATCTCACACCAAAGAGACGGTAAAAGCAACAGCGGGCCTCATCTGATGTTGCTTCTTCCTTCCCAGCTGAATTAGGAAAGCTGAGGGACAAAAAACCCCTATGCAGTCAGCCCATTGCAACTCCTTCTGCCACTAACCTTTCTCTAAAAGGGTTTGCTTCAATGTTTTTGCGAGCAGGACTCGAACATTTGGAACCTTGTCAGACGCCAAGTGTAGTAAGTGTGGCAACAGATGCACAGCAAACTGGTCCATGGGCAGGCAGTCATCTTCAATGATAGTCTGGCAGGAACACAGAGGCAATTTCATTAAATTTCAGCACAGGGAGGATGAAATCTCAACACAATCAGAAACCTGGAACTCCCTTTTTTCCCTTTTATTTTTTTTAATCAATGTACCACTTGAAAACAGGAGAGAAAAGCAGAAGACCTTTACAATCCTTGCCACAGTTACTTTAAGTCTTTGTTTAAACTAGATACTATATTGAGACAAAAATGGTTATTATCAATAAACACCTCTTATACCAAAACATTTCTCGAAATAAGCTCTAAGCTCACATTTCTCCAAACACTTCAAAGAACTGTCCACCTGGGCAGCAGCCACAGTGGCTCCCAGTCTGCACCTCTGCTACAGCCTCCAAATTTGACCATTTATTTGGGATCCCAACTAGTTTCAACTCCTGCTTGTTCTGCTGAGAATGCATTGGTTTTGACCAAGCTGCACAAGCTGGTTGAAGAGGTACAGGCAGCACATACTCATTGACTTCTAAAGATTTATTATATAAATCTCACTTCATGCTGAGCAACAAAACAGCTTCCCAACTCAGCGATTATTTTGCGCTCTATATTCAATATCAGATTTGGTGACCTGGAGCTAATATGCTGAGCTAAAGATGCAGTCAAGCTCATCTATGGAGAAACAGAGAAAAAAAACAGCCATGAAACTATTCCCTTGGAAACCATGTTCTCAAATATTCACCAATAGAGTGTCAATGGACAGCTGGAGAGTTCCAGTCCCCTTAATTCTGATCACCGCCACCCCTCAAACAAAAACAAGCAACGAACAAAAATAACTTCCCCCAAACCCCAGAATATAAATGAAAATATGTTTCACCTGGCAAATAAAGACAAAAGTCTGCCGACCAGACCATTTGTGGCATCTACAGAACTTCTCAACGAGTTCATTCATGAGGTCTACCACGAAGGTTGGTGTTGAAGCCATGTACAGCTTTTTTACCATTTCACTAACCTTGAAGAAAGGAGAAGGAAAAGTAAATAAAAAAGTTACCTCCTGACCACCAACACTCGGAAGTCTGACATCCTAAATTTATTTAGCTTGCATTACCAGCTTGTAGGAAATCCAGCGGACAGAGGACACTTTATCTGCACAGAGGCTGAAAGCAATAGGCCGCAGGTAGTCATAGATGTCCCTGGCACTGTACAGGTCTAGAAGCAAAATCAGCTGCCTACAAGATGAAAGAACCAAAGAGAGTATATCACAGTAAGAAAAAAGGCAGCTTAACTGAGAATCATCATTTATATGACAACACTTATCAAATATGCAATGTGGCCATAATGAAGTTACTGGGAAGTAAAATCTGTTTTTCAGTTGCCATCATCTGGACTGTGGGTCACTTGCAAATACCAAACTGCCACTTATTCACAATACTGACAGTACAACTACTGGGAATTTTTAAGCAAGGAGGACATGTGGAGGAGGAGAAGGACCACCTACTAATCAAAAATTAAATTAAGAATATCACTGCAAAACATCTCTTATATGATTTTCACATTTTTAAATATCCACAATAATAAAACTAATCATTCTGAAAATCACATACTCGGCCAGCTCAGCACGGAAACGCCAGTTCCTGCTGTTATCAGTCACCAGGAATTCCTGAAGCTGATAAAGATACTCTCGTCTTTTGTCAACATGAAGAAGCTGAAACAGTAAACACAAACTTACATAAAGAGCTACAGGCTACAATCAGCAGACAGAACAAGAGCTTTAAATACAACTAATGAAACACTCTTTTTATTTAAAAAAACTTTAATCTTTAGCAACAGTGTTGCTTTCCTGGGCTAAACCATGTAATGCTTAAGACTAAAATCACATGGGGCACACTACTGAAAGGAAAATGTGATGAGTCTCTCCCTTTACTCTAAGAAAGGAGGTGTAAACAGACAAGACAGTTTTAGAATTTGTGTCTCTCAGCTCCAGAAATGAGGCAGTTACAGAGAAACCTCTACAGAAATTTGACAAGTAAGTTGTGTAGGCAGATTAAAGCCCCCCAAAAAAAAATATCATATACTGAATAAACATGAACAAAGCTCTTCAGAGAAAATAAAGTAGCAGCAACACAGATCTTTTGCAACATATATTCCAGTATTCAATAGATATCTGCAGAGATTCCCACAGAGTTACATGGGAAGGAACACAGACATACCTTCAGGAAGTCATGCAAGTGCTTGAGCACACCTATCCTCACTTCATCTAGGTCCTTCAAAAAGCCATTGAAGACAGGAACTAAATCTCCAGCTGTAAGCTGGTCTCCAAGGATGACAGCAAGTTCATGTATAGAAAATGCCAGTGTCCGCCGAACCTTCCACTGCAACATAAACAAATCAATGTTATTGATCCAAAGTGCTCCAGTCAAACCTGAGGATCAGTATCCAAGCTGGACTCCCAGCAAATTCCACCACTTACAAATATCTTTACAGAATCTTTATAGTGTCTCATGTAACAACTGAAAATTACACTGGAAATTTGAAATGTAGAAAAAAAAAGAAATGCAAGAGAAGACAAATGACAAGGTATCACCTTGAATATCAAGGAATTAATAAAATAATATTAATCAAAATCTTTTAATCTTCCAAGTCCCAGGAAGCAAAATAGTATTCCTGACATCAGTGCTCTTGCACATATTACTTTTTGCTTTAAATTCTTTAGCTTAAATTAGTTTCATGCTACTATTCTCTCATTCTAAAATTAAAATTATCTCATTTTAAAATTAAATTAGTAAGATATATATACCATAATATTTCAGCTGGGATATTTTAGCTTCCATAATAGGTTAAGTTTCTTCCACAATTAGTGCCCAGCAACCCAAGAACGAGCGAAGCTTTCAGACACCCTAAATTGAGGGCACATTGTTTAATTCAAGTAATTATTTCAAAAAAGTATTTTAAAAATAAAATAGCATCTATTCTTTAGCCAGCACTCTCCAATTAGCATGAACACTGTTCTTTTGCCCTGGTTTGGTGATCCAGTCTTAATTCAGATTAGACTGGCGATAAATTCTGGACACTTCTGAACATAGGGGAATTTGTTTTTACTTATGTTTTAAATTTATTAGCTGGTTGTTTTTAATGGCTGTAAAGGAGCCTGGAAAACATGAGCAATAGCCATGTATAAAATTAGTCACTATGTATCACTGAGAACTGCTGCTCTGACAGAACAAGCAGCAAGTTCAAGAGAGGTGAAGCAGTCTGAGAATATTTTAAAAAATTAAAAGAGCATCTCCAAAAAAGGAAACAAAGGAGGTCTGGGAAACAACTGTAAACCACAAAATGCAGAAGGCCACCTCCTTAGCACCTGACAACAAGGCAAATGCTGCTATTTCCAGGATTTGTTTTTAAAGCAGCAGTGCTGCTGCATGGTGATAGCGATGTTATTCCTGTATGACTAATTGGATGTGGCACCAAGGCCTGGTGTGAGGCTGACTCACTGAGCTCCAGACATGTCTGCAGGGGCATGTCTACTCAGCAGCACAGCCCAAATTCTCAAACCTAGGAGGCTCCCAGACTCTGCCATAAGATCTCAAGCACACACAGGAAATCGGAAACCTGTCTTCATTTTCCTCCATATCCCACTCTAACCTGCCCATTTCTTTACTACCTGGGCACCACATACCCCTGCTTCCTCTGAAACAAGCACTGCACCATCATTCCTTACAGGATAACCAGTGATGGAAAGCTCTGTGTTAAAAAGCACAGCAGCCCAACATCCACCAAACAAGAGCAACCACTACAGAGGCTCCAACGAGTCTTTGTCACATCACAGAATTTCAGACTTTCATGCTTGAGCCCACCTGCATGTCAGACGCCAGAGTCTCGTAGGTGTCTTTCAGGCAGTGCCAGTTCTGCCTGCCCAGGGTCAGCGCCACGCCGGGCAGGCTGTAGGCACAGTGCTTGGCAATCTCCGTGTCCACTGTTTGTGCGCGGGATGGATCAGTCATGGATAAATACTGATCCAGCAAGGCTTGAGGTACAACATCCTGCAGCAACAGAGAGGCAGAGCATCCACACTATTTTCACTTACTCCTCATAAGGCTCACTATAATTCCTGGGCACTCTTCCCACTTTTTTTCCCCCCAACTATAGAATACTATTTAATTACAGCTCCTTAATAAGAGCACAACAGTTTTGTATCTGCTGAGTTCCACCAAAAGGTACCAAATAAACAATAACATGACTGGGGGCTATTTGAAAATATACAGTCCAACTCAAGAGAGGAGCAAGTGGACAAGTCTTCTTAGGGAGTCTAGGAAATGGAAAGACTGCATTCTACCCTTTGCAAACATTCCAGCTCACACGTTGTGCAAATTGGCCATTTAATATCATCCATAAAGACAGGTAAACACAAATTATGTGACTTGCTCAAAAAACCCTTTCCTAATTCTCTCCAAATCTTTAGAAGGTGGAGAGAAGAAAAATAAATTAAAATGCCTTGGGGAGGCAGGGAAGCGGAGTGAGCTGAGTACAGTGTGTTCAATACTGCTTCCAAACTCCCTGAACAGTCAACAGGGAGAAAGAGGCTTCTCCAGAGACAAAGAGATCTCTGGTGAAGAACTACCCTTCTGTCCACTGAGGAATCAAAGCATCTGAACAAAAATTCTGTGAAAACCTTTTTACTATGCCTTTGCTTCAGCTGTGTCAGGGACTGAGTCTATTAAAGGGTGCACAAGAGCATTTGCCTAACACAGCTGCTGAGTAGCTCCACTGACAAGAACAAGTGAGGGACTGAGGTTCCCACTCAAGCAGTCACGCTGATGCACAGTGGCAATGTAATACCAGACTATGGAACAACAAACATTTGATTCCTTTTGGAAAAAATACCAGAGGCAGTTCCAGCTTAATGAAACACTTTCAAAACTGTTCAGAAAAAAGCTATCAAGGGGTGGGGGTGGTTCCTCTTAAAACATGTAATAAAAAAACCATCCTGTTTCCTCAATAACCTAAGTCCCATTACAGCATGGTTCCCATCGAAAACTAAACCAAATGAAACACAGTCTGAGGATCTATGAAAACTATTATCTCATGTCAAAATAATATTGTCATCTCTCATGCATAAATGTAACAGAAGCAACTGTTAAATGAAGCCATTGACTCTGGAAACAAGGACTATTTTAAAACTACTTAACTTAGAGATATTTAATAGAAACTAGATCATGCCAGAAATGACTGAATGAAAAAGGTGATAAAGGAAATACCCATATATGTTAAAAAAATCACTTATCTGCTACATATAAGAAAATCGGAAGTCACTATCATTTACCTGTACTTTGGATTTTCTTTCTTCTTCAGGGCTGAAACTACTGTTGGTACTCAAATCTGAATCATTATGAATATAGTGAAGTGTAGAATCCATACTCTGGAAAAAAAAGAAAATTAAAAGACACATAAAACACACTCTAAGATTAAACACAAAAGAAATACCAACATCAAGAAGTGCTGTCCTCACCTCAGAGTCTATTTCTTAGATTAAAGGAATGTATGTTTTAATATCAAATACAATTTTGCTGCAGCTCAAAATCAAAAGGTCTGCAAGATAAATCTGCTTTTAATTTCAAACAGAAGCTCCTCTTACTCTGCTCCATTTTGGTTTTTATGGAATGAAAATCACAGGAGAGGAGTACTTTTGAGACTGCATTAAGGAAAATATAATTAACATGTGGGTCCCATTGCTTCTCCCCTGAATGGAAAGTAAGAAAACACCTGTAGCTGATTTTGATGAATTTTTTGCTTTGGATTTATGCTAGAAAATGGTCAAAACAAAGCCACCCTTCACACGGAAGAGGAGAGCCTGATGAGACTCATGCTGTTGCACCCTTCCTGGAGGTGATTATTTTATAATCTTTCCTGGATAAGCTTCACCTTATAAAACTGAGTCCTACTTAGCCACAGCTACTGACAAGAGTCATAAATTCTCTCAGCAGTCCTATTAAAATAATTTTCAGCACTCATTTTAGCACCCTGGCTGCACATCTGGGCCTTGAGGAGTGGCAGAGGTGTGATGGGCTGCAATGACCTGCCCTGCTGGGGGGATGCAGCACCGATGCTTTCGGTACAAGTGCAGCTCCCAAATACAAAGGGCTTCGAGTAACACACCATGAATTTCAAGCAGTATGCGATGAATATCTGAAAGGTAGATCAGGCTGCTGTGTGACGGAACAGGACAAAGGCATTTTTGCTAGATTTGAGCCAAGGTATCTATCTATTCACAAATGCTGCAGGGTGAGCTCCTAGGGTCAACACAAGAAACAAGAACATGCCCGCTTCCACAAGCTGTTCAGATTGTTTTGACAACGAGAATTTTCCAGCAAACTACAAACTTCTTCCAAAAAAAGCCTCCAGGATACAATCTGTCTTCCTTGGTTTGACTTCAGACAGCTGCTTTTTTCCTTCTGCACAAGCTGCTTTCATCTAAGCACTGGGCTGTAATTTTAGCTGGTGAGGTATAATTACAGGTGATAAAGAACAGGCAGAGCTGTGAGGCAATTGCGTATCTCTGGCACAGCAGTCCATGTCACCTGTCAGGCTTAGGAAGCAGCAGCAGCAAGACAGTCTTAAAAGACCCAAGGAAAGAACAGATTTGCAAGCAACTCCATAAATAAATGTGTCCAGCAGCACACAGCTCCAACTGTAAAACCTCCGGAGGCTCTGAAAACTACCTCTGCAGGATTTTAGTTTAACAGTCAATTCCTCCTTCATTCTTTTTTAGCCTTTTGTTTGTTTGTTTTTTTTTTTCCCTACAAAATAGACTATTTTCAGCATTGCCAGTCACCAGCTTTGGTATCATGCAAATCAAGGAATTATGAGGCAGCCAGCCCACTCAAAACCTAGTGACTTCCTAGTGACTTCCCAGTTTGCATGGGACCAGAGGTTAGTCATCTATTCTGTTACAATAAAAATGAAAGGACTCCACCTCATAATCCCTGCTACCTCAGTTCTAAAAGCTTAAGCTTAAAAGTATCATACTTTATGGACTGAACCAAGTCAAACAACTGAAAATAATGGAGGGTGTCAACAAATGGGAACATTTTTATTCAGCCACTTTTAAAGTTAAATACGCATTCCAGAGAGGAAGAGCTTCAGTAGAGAGGAACGACAGCCATCAGTCTGTATTTCGGTGATGCAGTATCTCCACCCCTGAAAAGTAAGTTCCATCTGTACTTCCTCCATGCACACACCAAACTGAGCATTGCAGAGAGCCAGGACACAAAAATTTAGCAGGGTTTAAGCCTGAAAGCTTCTTGTGTACCAAACGCAAAATTTTTGCCATGGCCTTACAGATCTCTAAGGCTAAGCTTCCCTTGGCTGTGTAACAAGAGCTCTGGGGCTGTGCTCCAAAGATCTCTGCTCTGTGTCAAGGGTTGCACACCAGGATAAGTGGTGCTGGTGCTTCCTGACAGAGCAGCTGGCCCAAACAAAGAAGAGGCCAGTGTCAGGGGCCCATCTCCTCCTGGCATCTATCCCATTCTTAGAGAGAGATACTGTGCCAGACAGGAGTGGGAAGGGTTTTAGTCCAGTTTCCTTTCTCCCTCTACCTCCAAATATAAACAGACTCTAGCACTCATCCCCTTATCAAACCTTATAAAGAACATATAACCTAAAGAAAATAAAAACAGTGCCTCTTGAGAAAAAATAAACAGCTGACCTCAACAAACAAGCTTCATCATATCCCAAAAATCTTACTGGTCCACTCTATTACATAATTTATTTTCATTTGAACAGAGAATATCTAACATGCAGCAGTAACTCCTTCATAAGCCAATACAGCTGCCAAAGGACAAGCAGACTGTGGTTTTCCTTAATGGTATATGTGCAGAACTGTGCAGGCTGCACTCAAATATAAAATGCTGGAGAGCTTGATTTCTCTGAAGTATCAAGTGTCTTACTGACACACTGCTATGCTGAGACTTCAAGAGAAGACAAGAAGAAAAAAATCACCACCACAACAAAACCCTAACTAAACTAAAAAACCCCAATAACCATCTGTGAAAATCAGAGGTCTCTTCACTGCTAGGGGCAACAGTCTACTTGCTCAACAGATCACACCTTGATTTCCAGAATTCTAGGTCATCTCTATAATATCTGCTCACTTGTAAAATGAGGACTTGATTCAGTGCCAGTAGCAAACAAGAAACTGACAGATTAAGAGCATTCTTTTAAAGCATAAAACTGAGAAAAGTCAACATATACCAGCAATGTGACTGGTTCTTAAATTTTCTGTCAGCACTATATTCTGTATACAAAAACATAAAACACAGGACAGGTCCCTCCACACAAACACCACCCTCACCACTCCTCAAAATTCTTAAGAATGGAGGATAAATATACACAGTCATTTTAGGTTAGCATTAGAAATAAGAGATCCTATAATAAAAAAAGCATTTTGAGCCTGACATAAAGAAACTGGAGACAGGCAGGTGTTTTTGAAACAAACCAGATTTGTAAAGTTAAATTACGGTTGTGTATAATCAGCAGTATCCAAGTAAATATCACATTCCTGAGCTCCTTGTATGTTTTTGGTCTAGATGGTAGTCCAACAGCTTAGAGAAAAGGTTAATTCAATGTCATCAAGAAATACTGCTCTAGTTAAAGAAGGATGAAAACGTCTGCACTGAACTGATATTAACTCCTAGACATTTCAAAGGCGCTTGTCAAAATTTCATCTGGAAAACACAATTTCAGTAGTATAATTCAACAAATCACTTGCTCTAATTTTATGGAGCCTATTTTGGAACCACTGCCTTCTGCAACAGCAGCATTTAATTCCACCTGAGTTTGTAGCATTATCTGCAGTGAACATAGTGGATTTGGCCTGACACAGCAAAGAACAGAAAAGAGTATCAAATGCAAGAACTACAGTCCGTCAGGGAACAAGGAGAAGGGTTGAAGAAGTAACTGCAGAAAACTTCAAGGTGTTACTGAGTGCTAGAATAACCTTCTCTTTCAGCAGTAAACACAATATCTCAATTGCAGGTTCTGAACTTCTCTGATGCAGACCAGTAAACCACAATAACTCAACAGGGAGTAAAGGGAAAAAAGTATCTCATTCTCTAGCTTTAGGGAGGGGTACTGTGGAAGAAGATTCACTCATTATTGGCAGAGCATCTGTTTTAAGCAAGGCACTTTCGCATGAATAAAATGTGGCAGCATTAGAACATCTTCAAATGCAATAGTCACAACAGAGATTTTAACAGAAACAGTTTAAATAATTTACACGGACAAGCACAGAACTGGCAAAAACAAAGCCATCCAACACAACCCATTTTATTTTAGTAGCTAGCACTTCAATACCATCCAACAAAAGGGAATGCCACAGTAACCAAAAGTAGAAAGCATTTGGCTGCAATCCTCACATGAATGCAAATTACAGCTCTGTTACTAGAGCCCTGGAAATCCTAATGGGAAAAAATGAAGTAGAAAACTCTCTTCTTACCTCAACAGTGTCACCAATTAAAGGCACAATATCACTCAGTATAGGTTTAAAACTTTGTTGGTCATTGATGGTTATTTCAGTCTGTGAATCTGTTCCCTTGCCAACACTGGCCATCGTCTCTTCTTGAGGATGCAAACTGGATGCTCTGAGTGCAGCAGACAACACCTCCACTTGTGCTGCAGTACATGAAAGAGAAATACATGAGAGACTAAACTGCAATATAACTTTAAGCAAGTCCACAGATCAACTTTTAGACAGAGACTAATTAATTAAAAGATGGCAGAGGAACTACAGGAGAGTCACATCCACTTAAGATCATATTGGTAAATCCCAAACTAGGGAGCAATTAAGCACTAGATTAACACCCCACTCTTTTTCTAGGGTACTCAACCAAACCACAGTCCAGTGAAATTTGTCCCTAAAGCTAAAATAAACAAACAAACCCTATAACCTAAGAAGAATAAAGAGACTGCTGTTACGGCAGGATCAGCCTTCTAACAATTTTAGTAAATATTAATGGTGCAAGTAGTTTTTTTGGGCAGAACAGCCTATGAATAATAACTTACAGACTGGGCCATTTGTGGAAGGTGGGACTAAGAGAAAGAGGAATAAAGTAATTCAAATAAAGATTAAGAACAGGTTTTGTAATACACAAAGGATTTCAGTTCTGAGAAGTTGTTTCTCCCTCTATATATGTTAATTAAATTCTTACATTTTAATAGCAACTCTAAAAGAAGATCTATATAGAAAGATGTCAGACCCAATACTTCAGCCTTCCTGGATCCTCCAAACAAATAAGAAGGTTGCACTGTCTGATGTTCTCTTATTCATCTAAAGAAGGCATTAGCACTTCATATTCTGCTACCCACTCTTTTGGTAAAGATCCAGCAGTTCCGAGGCTGCTCTGCTTTCCATCCCGTTGTTTACTGGGAATTAGAAAAAGCTCTGTTGAGCAATGCTCCTTGGATATAGCCTGACCTGAGATCAGGTATCACAGGCAATCTCAGTTGCACAAGTGACACAGAATCCAGTGCAGATTAGTCTACCCTGCCACTCTCCTCCTCCACTTCTTTCCAAGAAGGCAAGGAGGAATCATCTCCTCACTTATTAAATTTATCCAGCCATACGGAAGATCTATTCCTCATAGATTTTGTCTTTTCCAAGGTTTCTTAAATGTTCACTGTGAAATTACATGACAACCCATATGCTTGTTTTTAATTCCATATTGCCATACTAAACAACAGAATTCTTAATTTCTCCCTCTAGCATTTTGAATATGGTTGTTAACAAGTACTGAACAAAGAAAGTTGGACTAATTTCTAGACAGAAGAAACAGATATGATATACAACTGTTAAAAGAAACAAAAATTGTTAACTCAGTAAAATCTTAGATTTGAAGCATTAGCAAAATCTAGCAAAACTTGGAAAACACATTGTGGATTCACTGGTTTGTTGGTAGAGTCTGATGAGCAGGAATAAAGACAATTCTTTACAATATGCAATGGTAACTCTCTAACTCTGTCCAATTCTGATAAAATAATCCGAAGATATTCTTGATGTATTATTTATTACTGTATTCCTCAACAAGAAACAGAAAAAAAAACCTGCTAAAAACCAAGTATAACCAACATTATACTAATACTTCCACTATACAACATGTGAAAAATATAGTTTAAATATATATTATATATATTATAATTAAACATAAATATATAAAAATAAGGAATTTCACAATTTCTACGATTAGTAAGAGACTGCTACAACCTTACTCTTCAAGTATTACTTCATTGACAATAAAGTTATGTACTTTAAGACCCATGAGAATAAAACAGATCAAGGTCAATAAATTTCTGGAAAACTTAAATGTTAAATAAATTACCCCCAAAACCAGGCAAAATACGTGGTTATGCTAGGGCAATAAATGCCTGGCTTATTTCCAAACTATTTTCATTTCAAGAAATCAAAGAAGAAAATGAAAAACAGTTACATTCTGCTGCTCCTCATCTCTCATGAAGAGATTTCCTACTGACATGAGATAGGCAATGGTTTCCAGAAAATCATTTCAAATTCAAGTCAAGGATAAGGCTCCCCTTTCCTGCATGACAGAGCAGTACTTCAAGAAGGGAATCTCTGGCTAACCAGCTTTCACAACTACCATCAGTAAAAACTGGAGTGCAAAGGTCAGTTTTGCACATAGCACAGAACTCAGGTAACTGCATTGCTCAGGTAAAGTCAATGTTCACTGGATCTCAGACCATTAATTAACTCTTTCTTCAACTTTTGCTTTAGGTGAGATGTATTTTTAAACAAAAAAGTATTTAGTCTTGGCTACTGTACCTGCATCCTAAAATAACTGTCACAATCTGTAAATTCTAAATCACATTTTATCTGGTCTTACTGAATTTCCTGGTTTTCAGGAGTTTCTGTCCTTTCAATAAACCTTATTGTTTTTTTCTGTTTCTCCTGATGTTTCACTAGAAGACATTGATTTTTTTCCCCCCCTTTCTTTCTTTTTTGCTAAAGGATCAGCCTTCTGTACCCTCACTTCTTACTCAAAAGCTATGAGCTGCAATAATGGGTACAGAGATGAAGTAACTGAAACATAAGAACAGAGTTTCTTCTCCACTTACCCCTCACCTGTTCCGCTAACAACATATTTTTGACTTATTGCAGGCAGCACCAGTAACCTAACTTACTTATAAACATAGTTCTTATAAGGGAATGGCTGGTTTGTCCACATTAGGTCTCCTTTTGGCCAAGCAGCTTGTATCCAGCTGGCTTAGGCCACCGTTAGCCTCAGTAGCCTCCTCTAGTCCCCCAAATAATATTAAGGAAAGCTGACATTACATGATTTAGCCCTTTCTATGCAGATTGTAAGATAAAGCCAGTTGAAGAAAGTGTCTGTGGAAAGAAAAATAAAAAAATAAAAACATCTGAGGAAAAGAAAAGTAATCTCTGAAGGAGTGAAGACAGCAGCAGTCTCAGGGAACTGGAAAAACGTGACCTGAAAAAAGATCCTGTGATAACTTTTAAAAAGCTGGCATATTTCACAGGAACGTGCAGGTTCCCATCTCCCAGTCTGAGACCTTCCAGATGTCTGGCCAGTGGATTGGAAAGGTCCTTTCAAGGGAGATTAGAATAGCAGTGCTTAACTTTGCACAGCCCATGTAGCTCTGCTAGCCAGCAGTTTGCCTGTGAAAACACAGGCTCTCTTTATCTTGGTTGCTGATTTCTCAATCACCTATTACTCAGATTTATCACTTTGGCAATAAGCTAGCTCTGGAAGGAAAACCCCAGGGTAAAGAGTGAGATTCAGGTGAAGCAGTTCATCCTTTTTTGAGAATGAGATTAGGGAAAAAATATTCTATGATGGTTACTGATTACTGTTAAAAAAGTGTTTTTGCTGAAGATCTCATCAGTCCTCATGCCTTGAAGCCAAGCTCTAAGGCTTGAAATAGAAACTGCTCTATTGAGGTGTACTGCAGAAAACTCCAAACAAACCAATACCACCCACCCCTCCCCCCGCCTGAAAAACCCAACACAAAACACCAAACCAAAACCACATAACCATGACCAGTGTGTATGCAAACAGTAACTCCTTAGTGTTTGCCACCCAAGACATCTGGAAGATGGGGATATGCACTGAACATGCCATGGCTCTGGGCTGCACAGCTTGGTGATGCCTTTCCTTTGACTCTTCTCATTGGCCTGGTACACTCAGGTACCCCTCAGGTAAAAAATGAGTTATTCTTTCTCAATACTTCTGCTATAATGATGCAAGCAGGTGAGGGGAAAAGCAACTTACACAACACAGAAGGATGAAGTGAGACATGTGAAGTAGAGGAATGCCAAACCCAGAAAGGAAGAGAAATTAAAATAAAGAAGGAAATAGGAGGTGGAATACATGTGGAGGGAAGGGGATAGAGGTACAAAGGTATAGTAGCTGCTAGGGATGAACACCCAGTGCAAAGTACAGGGTGATGGGAGGAAGGAACGATGACCAAAAAAACACTATGAAACCCCAACAAAACCATGTTTTTCTGACTCGGAAAGAATAATTGCTAGCTGAACTTTAGCACCAAATCTCCACATCTGCCTCAGCTGTCAGGGACAGGCTCTAAGCCAACTAGCAAAATAGAAATCATCAGCCTCCTCTGACTGACTAGTGAAGAACAGCACCTTATTACCATCACCAGATATCCCACAGAGTCAAATAATAAAAATTCAGTGTGATCTTAAGAAACTTCAAAAACCCTGTGCCATTATGGTTCCACACAGCAGGAATCAATTTTCTTCTTCTCGCAAACATCTAAAACATTAAAAAAAACCAAACAGAAAAAGAGAAAAAAAGAAAACAAGAAAATAAAAACCAACCAAAAATCCATGTCAAAAGAAGGCTGCTGAATTTGCACAGTCAAGCATAGAGAGGCAAGGTAGAGCCAGAGACAAGGTCATGTGAACAACTTTATCTTACTGACACATGCAAAACATCATATACCACAGTCTCATTCCCAAACCACACTTCATCACTTCATCTTGTCATGCCTTCAGGATCCTTGGTCAATTTGCTATAGAAGCCAGAAGATGTGTACCCATGGAAGCTCTCCAGTATGGCAGGCCTCCACTTACCCACCACAGAGAACACAGCATCTTCCACTCCCATCCCTTGGCTGGGAATGCAGCAATAAAGACAGGAGCACAGCATGGAAGCAGGAGTCCAGGACTTAGGTGACAGCAAGCCAATGAAGAAAATAAGTGCAAGAAAAAGATCATAGGGATTTAAAAAGAAATAAAGTGAGGAAAAAAACCCTCCTAGCTTGCTCAGTCATTGCTGTCAAAGCAAAGCCTACTCACAGTAGGAGACTCAAAAACATAGCTGTCAGCTTTGCAGAGAGGGGAAGTGCAAGCAGGCTAAGACCCTATGGACCATTTGGGACCAGAGCTGTTTGGCATACATTTGGAAGCCATGTATACTGGAGACAGTGTTTTCTGTGAATTTAGGCAGTTTCATAAAATTTCCATGAAAAGCAATTAAGATAAGTTCTCGACTGAATATTTATACCATCAGTTTGCGACAACAGTTTTAGATTATATTGCCATGAGCAAAGAGACGGGGCTCTGATTTCCTGGATTACCCCCAGAGCAAGCCTATCTTTTGTCACAATTCAGGAAGCATAAGATTCAAAGAACAGGCATTTAAGTCAGCTACTCAGAGACTCAAGTCTGGATATCTACCACTTCTATGTGTGCTACAGTGTTTGAGACAAGCATGCAAAATTAATACTACTTGCACTTTGTGCAAAATTAAAATTGCAATGTTACTAAATTGAAACAGTCATGTTGTTAAATTCCAGCTTCTCGAGTATTAGACCAAATAACAAAAGCACAGACAAAAGGAAAAAGAGTAGAATATTTAGGAGAAATGTTTTATGGAGCTTCACTACACAGTCTTGACCAAGTCAGAGTGGGGGAACTCATGGTGTTGACAACCTAGTAACAGCTTTCTTCTACTTATATGTGCAAATGCTGGTCAATAACTCCACAGAAAATCTCCTGACACCCAGTCAAGAGATCTACAAACAAACAAACAAAAATAATTCCAAAAACCTACTCTGAAACAAGACATGAACACACATGATAAACAAATTCGTAACACAGGATGATTGTGGATGTACAATTACATGCTTACATAAACCATTGTAATTTATGCATTAAGGTATGTTCTCTAATTATAGACAGAACAGCTTTACAAAGTAAACCTGAACAGCAGTGCAAGCTTCTGCAGCTGGCTTCAGAAATGGGTTATATGAAAACTCAAGTCATTAGCAAGGGTGAATTTCTTTTCTTACCTCCTTCCTTAGTGCCCAAAGCACCCCTAAAGCAATGTTTTATCTGCTGACTTCACAAGCGATTAAATAAAAGTACAAAATGGATTTAAGAAAAGTTATTAGCATATCAACCTACTAACAATAAAATGAAGTCGAAAGTCGTATCAGTTTATTCTAAAATATTTTTCCCCAAATTGCCCCTTCTTTTCCTCCTACTTTTTCTGGTATAAGAGGCATGCTTCCCCCCTAGAGATTCTTCAGCTCCAAAATAACATGGCTTCCTCCAGACTTTTTGACTGTGACTCTCAAGTCCAGTGTGTCTTAGAATTTATTCAGCATATGAATACCAAGAAGAAACTACTTCCAGTGAAAAACCTATTTCCAGTAAGTATGTGTAGAAGAGCCAAGTCCTTTTAGCTGAGGAGGTGTCTCTGAAGTGCTGCTCCACCACCCTGTCACACTTAGGAAACCCTTCTCCATTCTTCAAAAGCTTTTAAAATGGAGAATGTGTGCTCACTTCAAGAACTCTGCTTTGATCAATTATCAGCCTGATCTGACAAACTTGTCACATTAAAGCTGTAAAAATGTGACTGCAATAAAAAAGCCCTTGCAGAAAAAAAGGAGACTATTTCATCCAAAATCAAACGGATAATGCGTAAAAAGAAAACTGTAATTCACACTGATAATTAAAAAAATAAAACTCTCTTAATCTGCCTTATTTTGCATGTATGCTAATTAGAAATAAACTTGCTTATCAACAGCTTATGCCTCTGAACTATCTATTTGTTTATAATGTCAAAACAGGCAGTCAGAACTTTATACTGCTAATTGCACATGCATTCAGTTTATAGAAGGAATTATATTCCTTTTAAACATCTTTACACAAATGCAAATTCCCTTTTAGTTGACTATCAATTTTCCTCAATCTCTTTGAGGACCACGAGAAAACACTGACTTTTAAAACAACTAAGTACTTCTGTCAGTACTTCTGACTTTTAAAACAACTAAGAGGTTAAAGCTCAAACAGATGAAGCAACATATACATATCTCCAAACATCAAAAATGCTTCAGTATATTTACCATACCTTTAACATCTGGATCGTCTATATGGGGTTCCAAATTTTCTATCATTTCTTCCAATTCCTTCCTTGTTGCCATAGGAATGCTTGGAGACACTGGCATAGTGAGTTCCTGAATTTCTCTATCGAGTTTTATATCAGAAACCTGCTGAAGCTCAAAGTCAATATCTATTTCAGGAAGTGGAGTCCTCCAGAAATGGAAAGAGTTGTATAATTCCTGCTCTGAAATAGAGGTTTCCTGTGAATTCAGCCCAGCCTCCTGCACATCTGCTGTACAGCAATGAGAACTTTGCTCGTTCTCATCAGCCATTTCCCCACAAGATTCTGAAGGCAAAGTGCAATGGAAGGATGATTCAGTCTGGAAATCACTTTCCCTCTTGGAGTTATTTGACGCTGTATTTTGATCTTCGATGACATTTTCAAGTTTTGATGAAAAATCATCAGTATCATCACAATATGAAGACAGGCCCTCTGTCCTGTTGTGCTCTTCATTTGTTGTGGCATCTTCTGTGGTTCTGACTTGCTCACTGTTGAATGCCAAAGAAAATGGACATTAAAAAACCAAACTAGATTTGTTATGCTCTTGAAAATTCATTTACACCATAATGAAACAGAAGTCATAAAATCAGAGAAGGGTCAAGGTTGGAAGGGACCTCTAGAAGCCACCTAGGCCAACCTCCTTGTTCAAGTAGGGATAACCAGAACCAGTTGCCCAGGACTTGTGACCAGACAGGTTTTAAATACTTCAGAGGATGGATACTCCATAGCCTTCATGGACAACCTTTGCCAGTGCTTAGTCATCCTCACATTAAAAAAAAAGTGGGTTTTGATGTTCAGAGGGGACCTCCTGTGTTTGAGGTTGTGGCCATTGACTCTGGAAGTGTCACAGGGCATCACTGAAAAGGGTCTAGCTTCATCCTCCTTTCACTTTCCCCTCAGGTGTTTATGAACATTGGTAAGACCCCCACCCAGTGAGCCCGCTCTTCTCCAGGCTGAAGTCCCAGGTCTCTCAGACTCTCCTGACAGGAGAGATTTCACAGTCTGTCATTTTGTGGCCCTTCACTGCACCCTCTCCAGTGTGCCTCTCCAGGTCTCCCTCTGGATGGCAGCATGACTGCGAGGGTGAAGCAGCCACTCTTCCCAGTTTTGTGCCATCAGCAGACCTGCTGAGGCTACACCCTGCTCCACCATTCAGGTCACTGAAGAGCATGTTAAACAGAACTGGACCCAATGCTGACCCCTCTTGATACACGGTCAGTGACCTTCAACTACAGGCTGCTGACCAATGCCCGTGGGCCCAGCCAGGCAATCCTCAGCCCACCTCACTATCTCCTCATCCGAGACAAACTTCAGCAGCTTCTCCACAAGGATCTTACAGGAGAACATATCAAAAGCCTTCCTAAAATCCAGGTATATGGTATACACTGCCCTCCCTTGTCTGTCAAAGTCAGTCATCTCAACACAGAACATACATCCTAATTCTGGTCTATGAAGATGAGAAGATCCAGATCTTTCCATTTACCAAATACTCAATTTATCCAGGAAACTTAATTTTTCTAATAGTTCATGAAGAAGAAGAACAAGGAGGCAAGATAACTTGGAGATTCAGCAAATTTACCTGTTTTCCTGAGCAGAACCACAATCTTCTGGGTTTTTACCATCTTCTTCTTTAAAGTACTGGCCACTGCTGGATGGATTAGCAAAAGTTGATATGAAAGGCCCCAGAGACTGAAAAGCTGCTTGGCGAACCTAATGGAAAGGGTCCAAGGTGAAAAAAACAAAATTATATATATATATATATAAATATTGCTGTCCTATAAAACATAATGCCTGCTACTAGGAATTGAACCTAGGAATTGGAAGGGTCATAAGCCTACTAAGGAAATCAAGAGCAGAGGCTCTTGTCTGGAAAGAATCCGCCAAGTATATACAGAGTGCCAAGTTTAAAAAAAATGTTAAGAAAAATGAAAAAGCAGAGTGAAACCAGTTAAATCACAGGTAACCAAACTGACAGGCTTATTCCTCACAACCAAAGTAGTAAAAATCTGTTTAAATAATAGAAGCAGGTAAATTTGAGAGCTCAGCTCAGAATTTTAACAACTTGAAAGGAAAAAAAATCATATACAGCAAACAGACATTTCACTTCCAGAAACTGACTGACAAGCATTATATTTCTTTCCCTTTTTATTTGGCTATGCCATGAATTTGCTCCTCCTTTCTCCTACTATTTATTCTCCTCTTCTCAACAATTCTCTATCTCGATTTTTATTATTTGATTAATTCTGCTGGGTTACAAATTGCATGACTTTCCAAGATGCATGAGCTCATGCTTCTGTGCAGATGATCCTTTGCTCTTGGAAGTAGTCTGCTTAGTAACAAACCTAAGGTTTAAGAGTAAATCTTCAAGATGGTAAATAATTAAAAAAACCCAAACAAACAAAAAACCAACAAACCCCCTCCCAAACAACAACAAAAATCCCACCCAACCCCCCTAAAAAAAACCACACATAAAAACCCATCACCTAAGAAACAATAAAAATTTAATTATTAAGAAGCTCCCCACCACTAACATCCAAAACACCCACAAAACCCAAAACCAATCTACCTCCAAAACAACTGCAAACTCCACCATGCCCTCCCACAAAAAACGACATGGTGGTAGGGAACCTGAAGAAGTACAAGTATATCATAATTAATTTTCCAGTTTTGTTAATGATTCTCAGCAATGTTAAGCCACAGGCGATTCTGTAGCTAAAAAAGTTACTCCGCTGAGAGAGTTTTCCTTACATGCTGCAGGGACTCTCTACACCCATCACTGAACTAACCAATTTTGCTTGAGGGGGCATTGAACAAGTTAGATTACCCACACCCATGGGAAGTTCTACATAGAGTATTGGAGTAAAATCCTTCAAATATGACAGCTATTCAAAAAATAAAAAGCAATTCTTACCCATCGTGAAGGATCACTAATCAAATTAATAAAAAGGGTTGATAATTTTGTCCTCCGGACTTCCTGCGATGTTGCACAAGAAACTGCCATGAAGCACTCAGCACAGGCTTTCCTAACTCCCCACACATTATCAGAACAGAGCTGGAAAAACCTCGGCAGCTGTTAGGAATATAGCAAGTGAGTTTGCAAGTCTTAGTAAGTAGCACTTGTTTCAAAACAAGTTCTCTTTTCACATTCATTTTCTTCACCTGGTTGTCCACCTTCATACTCATATACACAATTTAACATTTGCCAAGAGAAAGAACACACATTCAGTAGCTTCTAACCTGCTGCTTTCATATTACTTATGGATACAGATAAGGAAAATTCACTTGTCTGGAGAACAACAAGGAAGTATTAACTCTTAAGACTGATTTATACCCAAAAAAAAGTCCCTAAAAAGCCCAACTTCAAATACACCCCCAAGACCAACAACCTATCATAAGACAAGACCTCATGTCTACACCATTCTTTTAAAGAAGGGACAAGAAAAATAATACTGGTGCATTATTAGAAAGCAATTCTTTACTGCAAGGGTGGTAAGGCACTAGAACACACTGCCCAAGCAGATCGTGGATGCCTCAAGCCTGAAGTGTTCAAGGCCAGGTGGATAAGGTCTTGAATAACCTAATCTAGTGGAAGGCATCCCTGTCCATGACAGGGAAGGTTAGAACCAGATGATCTTTAAGGTCCCTTCCAAACCTTAACATTTTTTGATTCTATGACTAACACTTTACCTATCAGAGACCACTTCAGATTTTTTTTAAGATTCTTACTGAAATGCAAAGGAACATCATCTTCAGAAAGAAAAAACTTCCTTTTCTACCTACACTTCTCATTGTTAAGATTTAGTAACCTCTGCCACCGTCTATCTACAATGCAGGACCATGAACAGCAAGAGGAACAGGGCAATGAGAGAATTACTGCACTTGCTCAAGAGAAAACATGTTTGAACAGAGCAGTGGTTTTACTAATAAAACTGAAGCATTTTGAAGGTGCTCAGGTGCTTGGGCTTTTTGGACACAGTATTGGTATGGGTGGACAGAGTACAGGTGAGGCACAGCTGCCTTGGCTTGCAACAGGTACAGTGACAGAACACAAGTAAACCAATGGCTGTTGCTACAGCCTTGTTCACAGTTACTGATGTTCAGCTGTTCCTACTCTCGGCAATCAAGTATTCTGGACTTTGCCTCTAATTGAAAAAAGCTTTTAGTGAAATAATTACCCCCACAGCCCCCTGGAGTTACTAAACTAGTCCAGATCCAAGAGGGCTTTGGGGGAATATTTCAGGGGCAAGGCAAAAGATTCCCCCAGTGCTGTCCAAGACATTTATACTCAAAGGTTTCCGGGTAGAAAGAGGGAAAGAGGGTGAACAAGGAAGAACAGGGCCTTATCTAGACTCCTGCTCAGGAAAAGATAATTGGCTTTCAGCCAATGAGGTCAAGAAAGGAAGGAAGGGTTAAACTAACATGGTTACACTACAGGGGTCTCTGGGGCTGGAAAAACCATTTCCCAGAGGAATACAACATCTAAATTAAAACATGAAGTCTTATAATTCAGCTTTTTACACTCCTCCTTTTTCCTAACAATAATCCAAGAAGAACAGAAAATCGCATTTTCTGTTATAGAAAGAAAACCCCAGCTGTCCTGCCACACGTTACTGTTTTCAAATGAAATAATCATCACTTTTTTATTTAATAGTAGTCTACAAAGTTTTCATCCAAATTCATTACACTAATCACTAAAAAGGCAGCTGTGTGAGAGAAATCAATTTCCATCCCAAATCAGAAAGCACATGGGATGCAAATCCACACAACTAAACTTCACTACCAAATGATGTGAATCACTCAATAGCTAGAGAGAATGCAGCAAATGCTTTAAGACCATAAGAAATGGCCTGAGAGCCACAATAGGCTTACCTGTCGCAACACCACTGCAAAAAGCTTCAGAGCCTCTGGCTGAAGTCACGCCTGCATTTACACTCTGTCCACGTAAGTCCCTCACTAATTCAGGGCATTGACTAATCAGCCTCTGCTGGCCCTCAACAAGCTCACTGTCCACATTCCCAAGAGGAGAAAGCTTGAAGAGGGATCCCAGAGCCTGCCAAGCTGATTTCTGCTCCCTAGCCTCGTCACATCTCCAAATCTATCAACATCCATTAGAGCTCCCTGGACCCACCATGGGAATGTGTGCACAGTTAAGTATCCTCTTCTCGCCACTCCATCCAGTTCCCTGCTTTTACATTTTGAATGTGTCTCTCCTTCCTTTATTTTATTTGTTATTTCTGAGATTCACTTATTTCCCTTACTTTACTTTCTCTTTCCCTCCTTTCCAGGAGGCTGTTTGAGGAAAACTGTCTTGAAGAGATGAAATCAATACATAAGCCCCAGCATTCCCATTACTTTATCTCCCCTGCCATGCTCCCCTGTATCTGCGATCTCTCATGTGCTGCCTTTCTTCTGTAGCTTATCTGGCTCTATTCCTGAATTGTATTAAAAACTCTTTAAGAAATGGCTTACCAGCATTTCTTCAGTGGCTTGTTGTCCAACCACACTGCAAATATCTCCAAAATTGGCTGCACATACCTTGCAGACAGAATGCAAGAAATAAAGAGTAAGACCACAGTTTTAATACAGAGAAATCCAAGGGGAAAAAAAATAAACAACTTTTAAAATCAGAAAAATGTCTTTTGGTGCAAACTCATTATGAACAACTTTCCTATTCCATCATTTTCCATGGTTTTTAAAAAATAAACAATTTTCTTTTCTTAGAAATTAGTCAGTCTTTTTTAATCATAGAAAAACCCCAGAACTTAAATGAAAAGAGGATTAAATTTATTTGAGGTGCTGTCAAATTAAGGACCCCTTGGGGTTTTCATGGGAATTAGGTTTTTCAAAAGCAGGATGAGACCAAAGAGCAGCATCCACACCTAAACATCATGATGGAATACTGCACAGAGATATGAGCTCAGGTGGCTGATGCTTTACCAGCCACAGCTGGTTCACATTTTCCTGACTATCAACATGATCATAAGCACAGATGCCCAATCACACTGCAGCCATCTATAGCACAAGGACAATAAGATTCTTTCTTTCTTTTTTTCTAGTAAGAAGAGTAGTGATTCTGGAAAAAAAATCTCAGTGTCAAATATTAAAATTTATGGTAATGCAAGATACAAAACCCTCCACAGCTTTCACTTATACATGTCACAAATGAGATCTACAGGAAAGTTTCTTAGTCACATGCAAGTTCCAAGCACATGACATGTTTTTTCACAGAATCTAGACCAGATGCTCATAATTCATACCTTACGAACATGAAACATCCTGCAGTCACAGCACATCTCGCAGAACCTGGGAAGCACAAGTCTTTCTGTGATGTCCTTTCCAACCATGGAGGCCATTTTGCACATAATCTAATGACAAGACAGACACTAATCAGAGATGCTTGCATAACACACTATTCTGTGTCAGCTAAACAGGATTTTTACATCTACTCTCCATTCTGATGAACATAATTTTACTGAAAACTGTGAAAAATATTGAAAACAAAATGCTATTTGAATTGAAAAGGTTTGGCCACTTCTACAAAGAACAGCATTTCCCATTTCCTTGTCATGACACAATACAGGTGTAGAAGATGACATTGATTTTCCAATAAACTGAATCAAATTCCCAGCTAACAAAGATAACCAGGCTCTTAGAAATTATTCTGTGTTACCCAACAGACCTTAAAGAAAAAGTTCATGATTCTTTTACTACTTCAATACAAAACTTATATATGTACAATTAACACAAAATTATTGATAATTAATATGCTTAAGAGACTTCTGAGTCCCGTATGGTTTAAAATTAATTACAACACTGCCCTGCATATATGCAACTCCCAAATATAAAATTCCCAAAGAAACATATTGCACCAAAAAAAGAATTCTTCCCTCTAGCTGCTCTTTCATTTTAATTTGTACTGAAGCTTAAAAATAAAACAGCTTTAAAAAGCAGAAAGAATTTTACGTTTACCATTCCCAATCATGTCAGTAGAACAATTTACATTCATTCCCCTACAATAACAAATGATGGCTTCTCTAACCTCTAGGAGGTTGATGAAGTACAGAAATTTCTGTCAAGTTTCAATGCCTTCAAAACCATGATGACAGATAAAACTAATCTGCTTATACTTTATTCCCTTATGTAGTTGTAAACTGCATCAAGAAGCACTAGAAATTTGGTGCTAAATGCAACAGGTGCTGGAGCCTTTTTATTGTTCATTAGTCCAGCCACTGCAGGAAAGTAAAATATTAAATGAGGTCTCTCTCAAGCAAAAAGAAAAGCAAAAAAATTCACCCAGCAGAAAGCATCAATATAAATTGCAATTAAAAAAGGAAACAAAAGGGCCTACATCTGCCATTTCTCCATTATAAATTAACTAATCTGCTTACTATTTTAATTCAACACATACATTTTAATTACAAAGGTTGCGTCTATTGCAAAAAATCCACCACCAACCAACCATGAATTAATCAACTCAGATGCTTATTACTTTGCCCAATAAAACACAACAAAATCATTAAAGAGAACAGATATACAGCGAGGAGCAACAGAACTGAGACATTAAAGCTTTTGAACTGATGGAAATTTTCCACACAGGCAATTTAAACTCCCATAAAATAAACAGACAAACATTCAAAAAACTAAAAAGCCAACATAGCAGATGCTTTAGGAGTCAATAAAACAGTCTTGTCCAGTTGGGTTTTTTTTAATAGCATATGTAAATTACTGAATTTAAATCTTAACTTGATCAGACTGTACAGCACTGACACAGCACAGAAGAAGTTACAGATTTATTACAGAGAGGGAATATAACGTTTCCTCTTTAGTAATGGCTGTGCAACTTGGAAACACACCATCACCACTGCACTATCAAGCATTCAGGCAAACTTTTGGCTGTTTGATTTGGCACTGCTGTTACTTACAGCCACAGCTTCTGTCTTCACATCGTCGTTGCTGTCTGGAGCTGTCAGATCTATCAGCACTGGGCACACTTTGGTCTCCACATCGTATCTCTCAATGAGTTCTTGCTCCAACAGCACTAACAACGCTGCCTGGCTTGTTTTTCTGACCTGCCATAAAAAGACAAATTGAACCAAAGACAGTTTTATTTGTTGAAATACATGCGTACTGTATTTTGGAAGCTGTACCTATATAGCAACACACGGCAGTACTAACTGCCCACAGTGAGAGGATACGTGCTCTACAAGTGCTTTGCAAGCACTTCATGTTTGCTCTCCTGTGTTTTGGGAAGTATGGAGGTGGATACCTGCCTCAGCTGACAATGTGCAGGTGCTTCTTGGGTTCATGCACTATTTGTTTTAATGTCAAAAAGAGCAGTCATGGCAAATCTCATAAAAATGTGTGAAGAAAAAGCAGGACTATTAATGCAGAGTAACAAATATCTAAGAAAGATTAATTTAATGAAACAAATCCTCTTTTTCTGAGATTAACAAGAAATAGTCTGGCAAGGAAAAATTGTGTTTATTTCCAATGCTTTTAAATCTGAGACACAATTCTGCTAAGTCCCATTTAAAAAAAAATGTGCAAAAATAAGATACCATTATTGACTTCACAGTTTGTGAATTCCTGCCTCTAAAAGGAGTAATTTCACCAGAAGAGAAAACATTACATACAGCAAGAGACTACATATACTGCAATGCAGCAATTTTGGAAACACCTTTGAGCTCTTTGTTTCAGAGATCTGCAGCCCAATGATCTATGCAACAGAGATTAACACAATGAAAACAATCACGGAATCTTCTAGCAGAACATCAAACAGAAGTATGGTTGTTGTATTATACATGAATTAGCAAAACAACTACTAAGAAAAATATGTTTGGGTAGTTATTTTTAACTATGTAAATTTTGAAAAGGGCAAGCAAAAAATGACAGACTCAAAAGGCCTAAAATATTGAAAATAACGTATCAACTAGCCTTAATCTAGTCTGAAATGACTGGAGAAGCCTAAAGAAAGCTTTGGACAAGCTAACTTATACATGAAGAGGAACAAACCACATGAGTTCAATCCAAAACTATTATCTGGTGATGAAGGTACATCATGGTGTTAAAAAACTGATTTATACAAAAGTCTCAGTTTTTCATTTCTACCGTTCCTTTTTGCCAGAATTTAAATTATGTAAGCTTGTCTAAATGACTAATTTTGTCATACAAGTATCAGATAAAAGGCCCCAAATCAGGACAGATCACATTAGATGTAAAAAACTGTCATTACATTCTCTTTAAAATATTTTAATATTTTCTTTAAATGAATTTATAGTACCACATATTTCATGTCTATTCCAAATCCTTATATCCCAAAATATAACACACTTGGACCATGCTACATTTAAATAATTTGGCATCACAACAGTATTTCACCAGCTAGTAAACTACTCCTACAAAAAACATACCTGGTTATTCTGGTCTGCGAGGTATCGCACCACAATTGGTAGTAGGTATTTGGAGAAAGCATAAGGGATTGAAGGTCTGTTTTCTTGACAGAACATAGCAATATGAGGCACCTGTTCCATCAGTTCTGCCCGCACTGTTGGCTCTGTAAGGGTCAAAACAAAACCAAAAAAATGGTACAATATATGTTTACAAGCATGCTCCGAGATCCTGCCAGAGTAAGGTTTTTACAGTACCCTACATACAAAGTATGCTCTCCACTGTTCATGTCAGTGTGTTTGTTAAGTTCCATTTTGATATCTTTTTACAAAACCAGATAAAACTACACTCTGTGCTGCTGAACTACTAAAAAGTTCCATCTCACACTCCTAGTAATAAAAAAGGAGTAAGACAGACAGCCAGTCATGAACATTGTGAGTATCAGAATTGTCCATGCTCCCTATGAGCATCACCTACTTCACAGAAACCTCCTACGCTGAAATTCAGCCCAGAGCTGGCGCCACCGTGAGAAGAAAGGAACTGAGGAGGAGTCTGGGCCATGGCCTCTCAGATGGGAAAGATCCCACTGAGCAGGACAACTAGCCATAACCACAGATGCTGTTCTTCATTCTTTGCTTTTTAAGGCTACTGATGTAATTGTCAGATGGAAAAGGTCCTGCATCTTTCCAGCTGCTTCTGTTAAAACTTTGAGATGTGTTTCTCACCAAGGCTGCTGATTATTTAAAAAACATTTAATTCAATATTTAAATTCAAGAAATAGCACACTGCCTGGATGAATCATAATCCCCACAGAATATGCACGTATATCTTGGGGATGAGAGAAGAATCAAGAGAAACAATACAGACGTAGATTCAATTCCAACTATTAGAAAAACAGATTCAATTTAAGAACCAGGACCTTATTGTGTGCCTAACTTCTCCATGGGAATTAAAAAAAATCACAACTAAGTACTTCTGCCCTTTCAGGGTTTGCTGATATATGCAGTTACCATTGGTCTGATTACTTAGAAATAAGACATAACATCAGTTACTCTCAAATTATACTAATTTGATTTACAATATTTTAAATAATAAGATGTATATGTCACAGTATTCACCTTACTGAATTTTTACCTAGAATTTGTTCAGGCAAAACTTAATAGTATAACTTGAACCATCTTCCTTGGCATACTTTCAACTAACGTGATTTATCAAAAATACAACCTTTTGTTAAACAGAAGCATTCAATAGGCATTTGTATTTAATATAGCAAATGTGGGCAGCATTTGGCTTTCTTGAACACTGGCTACAAGTGTAAACTCAATTTGAATAAAACACAAAGACAAAACAAGTCCCCTGCTGTGTGCAGTCTTTTCTTCACTGAGGACAATGAGAACAGGAAAGATCACTGCACACAAAGTAATTAAATGCCTATGGGCTCCAGTTCTTTCACTATAGACTTAAATTACTTTTCCTATAGAAAAACATGCCAAAATCAGAGTTGGAGGGGAACTTACAGATCATCTAGCTCCAACCCCTGGGGGTTGGGGTTCCACTAGATAGGTTGCTCAAAGCTGCACCTAACCTGGCCTTGAACACTTCCAGGGATGCTCTGGAAAGTTTATGAATTCCTGTCCAAGTTGCAGAATACAAAATGGAGTCTCAGACAAATCAATACTGTATAGGTTCATTGCTGTTCATGACAATAAAGTAAAAAACATCTTCCTATATGCTCTGTATCTCTTCCCAAATGCTACCAGGAACACACAGGAGCAAAACATTTTTATTCAAACTTCAGATGTTCTGAAACACGTGCAGGTTTAACTCCATGAGCAACATCGGCATCCTGAAGTTTGCATTGAAGAAGTCAGATCCTGACGAACAAACACTAAACAAACTATGTGCAAGTTTTAGTAGATCTAACAAAAATTCACACCTTAACAAAATGCTGAACTCTAGTGATCAAACACTCCATTTGTAGCAGTAAATGTAACAGCTGACCAAAATACACACCTGTAACAAGGACAAATTAAT